AAGAGTATAATGTAGACAATATTTTGAAGCATAGCTGCCTTTGCTATAGTAATGGACATTGTCATGTTGTGGTTTAGCTATCATGTAAAAATAATGGGTTTATATATTTAATACACAATATATTAGACAACATGATGAAAGCCATATTAGTGGATTTTCATTGATTGTAAGATGTAGATAGATTACTAGCTCAAAAAGAGGTTGCTTAAAAGGGCTTCTATTAGAATTTATATAACTTTATTTTCTTTTGATAGTGACTTTGAAGTTGATCTTATTAGTAGTAAGTTTTAAATATTTAGAGTCACCTTTGATAGATATTCATGACCCTTAAAGTCTTATTTTGTTTCTTTTATATGGTGTTTAGGATATATATTGTATAAATCTTGTAAAGAAAAGAGCTGAAGAGGGATTTTGATAGCAAAAAGAAATAAGTTTATGACATCCATATGGATGAATGGAAATGGATGATAAAAATCTCCATTCCCATTGATCAAAAATCATGACCAATGGACTTTAAGGAGGCTGCTTGAGGCCATATTAGAAATTAGGATTAGTCTTTCAGGATCATTCAAGCTTTAGAGGCTAAAATCAGTAAACTTAGGTTTTTAATTATGATTTTGGTACAAATTTTGTATGATTTGGAGTTTATATGAAAGAAATATGGATGCTCAAAGTTAAGGTGTTGATTTTATACCTAGTGTCACTCTTTTGGATATACTGCACACATATAGAAAGCAATAGAAGATCGGCAATTAGGGTTTAAGAGAGCACTCTTTTGGCTATAATTTTAGTATATTTTTTGATGGATTTTAACTTTGGGTGAAGGAGATATTAGAGGTTGAAGTCAGCACTTGCAAATCTAAGGGTAGTAAGAAACCCGAATTGCTAGTGGTTGTGTTTTGAGCTATACCTTGTGCAATTTGATAAGATTTTGGCTAAAGCTTTCTAAGAATGTATATTTTCATATAATCAAACTTTTTATATAAGATTTGTGGCATTTGAATTTTGGATTTTTGAGATATGAAGAAAATAGTTTTTGGATGCTTGTAGATTAGGATTTAGACTACATGTTAGGATTTTTAAGATGCCAAAAGATTGGTAATAGATTTATGGTTCATTTTTTTTAGTAAATCTTAAGGATAAAATCTATGTTATATAGAAATTTTAGAAAAATTGAATGGTTGGATCAAGAGATATGAATTTTCAAATTTTAGGATAAAAATATCTTTGGCAGGAAGAAAATATTTTGAAGGGTTTTGTTATATTTTGAGCTTTTGTACAAATAAAGGGATTTTTGGAAGCTAAGACATCATATAGAAGCAAAAGCTAAATTCTCTATAGCTACATATCTTGTATATTCCTAGATTACAAATCACGCCACACAACAATGTCTGCAACTTCAATACAAGGTTCTTTGGAAAGGCTATCTCATCTATGATATAATGTGAGAACTTATATAAAACCTCATTCATTATCAAGAAACAATTTGGAGGTACTATTGAAAGCAAAATGAGGATATTTTGCATTAATAGAGAAAAATTAATTGTAATATGGCATAGATAAGATAATTGTATTATCAACGTATAGAAATAGATAATTAAGGCCATTTTTAGGAAGTTTCTAGAAGTTTTTAAAATTGGAGCTAAGGTGGTGGTTTATATAGGATCTATTATAGAACATTGTTAAAGAATTAAGGGTGATTATCTAGGTGGGATCCACCTCTATAACCTTCTAGAAGGGTGGTTATTTTGGTAAGGCCCACCATTAAAGACATTCTAAAAAGTCTCATGATCATTGAATAAAGTATAAACAGAACTAACTAAGGCCATTTGAAACATTTGGTCAAGTATAGCTTTGATCTCTTTCTTTTAATAAAGTTTGGTTTATATATTTTTTTTTTTTTTTATTTCTTTTTGTTCAATTTTATCTTTCATGATCTGTTTTTTTTAGTTTTGTTCAATTTTGTCTTTCATGATCTATTTTTTTTAGCTTTGTTCAATTTTGTTCTAGTCTGTTTTATCCTACTTTATAATAGAACTTATGTTATTATAGGCTGGAAGGATTTTAGATCTTTAAGACGACTCAATCTTATTTCACTACTATATAGATAGATCATACTCACAAAACTACAGTTGTTACCAAAAAAAATGAACATTGGATATTATTATCAATTATTATCATTGTAGTTCTATTTGTAAATACTTGATAGTAGTTTATTAAGGACCTTTATTTGATATAATTTTTATTTGATCTTTCTCCTCTTATGTCAAAATATAATTTATTATATAGAAAAAATAGACTTATGGTATTAAATATGTCTCTATTTTAATTTTGTTTATACTCTCTTTTTAATTTTAAATGTATTCATATTCTATTTGATTCTTTTCCGTATTCAAGGGCCTTCAATCAATATAATTATTATTAAAATTTCTTATCTCTTATATTAGAATTAAATTTGTTAAGTATGTGAAGTTAACTTATATTACTAAACTTATATTAGATCTTTCTTTTTTCAAGATTTTTAATCAATTCAAACTTCTATGAAGTTGTATTTAATTTTCTTATGTAATCTATGGCTTTAGATCTTATTGTTGTTATTCTTGCTACTTATACAACATATGATCTTATGTTATGTACATCCTCTAAGTTAAAAATTCTTTTTATTCTTTATATTCTATAAATTGATTATATTTGATAGTTTTTCTAGTTGTTTCCATCTTTGGCTCACTATTGTTATCAATGGCAACTTATTAAGTTTTGTAATTATATTTTGTGCCATGGTTGGCTATTATTCTTGTTAGAGTGTGATTGGAAGTTTTCAATAGCATTTTTTTTTTCTTTATCATCTTTGTTATTATTTGTGTTGCTTTCTTACTTAGGCTATTAATATTAATCTATTCTTTTTGATCTTGATTTTATTCTTATTTTATTTTAATAAGTTATTATATTTCTTTTTAAATATTATAAGTTCTTTTATATTGTACACTTCTAAATCTTTCTTTATCAAATTGAATTCTTATTTGTTTATTTATGTTTTTATTCTCTTATACTTTGTTTCTACTTCTATGTCTTGGTGTAGGTCATGGTTTGTTAATGAATCTTCTACCTTTTATTTCTAATTGTTTTTTGTTTAAATTATGATAGGATTTAACAATCTCTTATTTTGTGACTCATTTTCATATAGATCTTGTATCCAATTAGCAAATTGATGTAATTTGCATAGATTTTTTTAATTTTAATTTTTTTTCTAAGTCATTTGATTGGTCACTAGCATTTTTAGTTCCCCTTTTGCTTTAAGATTGAATGCCATGCAATAATAGGATTCTGAAATCTTGTGATTATGTGATCTTTCAACTTGAATTTGGTCCATGGATGTTGACACTTATAAGCCACTTTCCAGAAGTCTTGTGGTATATTTTTTAGAGTAATCCAAGTTGGAACCTTGCTAGTTTGTAAAGCTTTTCTAACTCTTAAATCTTAGATTGCTTTCAACTCAAAATACATGTTCTAACTTTGGAATGTATATAACCATATTTGTTTTTAGTAAAAAAATAAAACCAATATTTTCTTTATTCTTTCTTTTGATATTATATATAAATAAATTTATTATTTTTCTATATATTTATTAGACCTAATTAAATATTTTATTCATTTTTTATAAATCAATAAGTATTTTCTAAAATTTAACTTTAATTTTAAAAAATCTAATAAAATAATTTATTATAACATGTGTAAATAGAAACTCAATTTTGGCAAATACGGTTGCATTGTCTACCTTAATTGTTTTGAATATTGTACAAACCAAGAATCCTACAAAGTTGAATGTAAATCCTTTTTGTTGCTCTTTTCTTGATATTTCTCTAGTTTGGTGAAGTAATCACTTGACCTATGGACTCTTAGCACTATCCTTATTTCTTGTTTCTTATTTTTACTAAACCTTTCTTTGTGATCTTTCATTTCATCATCTATCCTATTTCCTCTAATCTCATCTTTATCTATTGTAATTCCATATCTTACCTGATTAATATATAAAAAATTAAGTATGTCTCTTTTTTACTTATGACACAATTTTGACCATCCTTGTTAATTTGCAAAGTCTTGCTACTCTAAATTGATCCTTGTACTCTATATCTACAACAATTGTATAAAGCATAAAATCCACTTGCTTTTGTTTTTGTACTACTTGCAACACATCTACAAGCTCATTCTCTAAGAGATCTTATATTCTACAAATTGTAGTTCTCTAATGAAAATAAAATTACAATATTCTTAAAACAGTTTTGTAATTTTTTTTTGTTGAATATTTATGTAAATACTTCTTTGTTCACAAAAACTGGTTACTCCAATTATACTGAATAAGACTTTGATTATGCTGAATTCTATCTAATATAAGTCAATATATTCTCTGAGGACACATTCAAGGCTATTTTAATGTTTTTTTGCATTTTGAGGGGGTATATACAAATCATTTGAAATCGATTTTCAATACTTCGAAATTGAATATTACAAGATGTGCACAATTTCAAAAGTGTGTAAAATTGTGTGCTTTCATGGTCAAATTTAATATTACAAAGAAAGATTTTTCAGTGATGGCTTGGATGCTGTATGTTAGCGTAGTTCAAAAAATAACCACAGCTTGCTCGTTCACATACAGATATATGCTAGGATAAGTGTAATGCTTTAGAACGAGTGATACTCTGGCCAATCATAGACTTAAGAACTAGTATTTAGATGTGAAACAACTGCTCATAACCTGGTTAGATGAATGACAGTTGCTCATGACATGAATCTGAAATATCAGGAGATTTATATAGAATATGATAGTGCAACTTGACATCTTGTGTCCAATGTTGCGTTTAGATATTAAACAGGAATTTTCTTAGTGGTTAAAACCTGTTAGATAAGGAAAACTCGCTGCATCAAGATGTGAAATACATCATAAGAGTGTTCGTGTTTCTATCCATCCGATCCAGAAATTTGAAGACCACAACACCCCGAAATAAGCACTACTAAGTATTCATTGTGGGCTCTGAATACCCATAGGAGTGTAACAGTCGACATACTTTTTACAATTATAATTCATGAAAGGTGCGCATCAACACACCTGCAGAGCAGTACCCTAAAATAATCGTAGTAGATGCATTCCTTGAACCACGACGCATCACATAAGGAGGACGCTAACACAGACAGACGTGTTAGCTTAATTCTAAATACCTCAAACCCATAATTTCCGGGGTGCGTTTCAATACGTTTCCAAGCGAGATACATAAGCCTCTTCACCTTGGCTGCTTCTGCCTTGTTGATCTAAATGCAAGACCTACAAAATACTTTTCCCCATAGAGGAGCTTCTAGCTAGTTCCACTTAAGTAGAACTTCATTCTCTCGATGATGGGGGAGATTGTAAAGCCACAAAGCTTCGTACAACTGAATTTATACAAGACGATGGAGTCTTTCACCATTCCACCTACTGATTTCTGCAGATACTCATAGTGAGTGTGCGAGGGTGCGGAACTCATGCAAGCATGTCATCAGGCTCATACTCCTTTTCTGAAGATTTTCGTACTCCTGCTCGAGTTGTTCTTTGGCCCCAGGCGCCACAAACATCTCCAAAAACTTGTCATCCTTGACTCCAAAAACCTCCATTTGTACGTCAATAGCTTGCTGATTGCGGCTGTCATAAAACACAGAGACGTCCCATTAGTCCATTATTACCTGCTTCAATCCTTATGGTTCTTAAACTAACTGAAGCATGATCTCAATTAGGTATAACTGGGATTGCAGAAGCGGGGGGTTGCAGGGGGCGCTCTAAATGGTACCATCCTACATTGCTCCTTCCTTCAACTTACATTGGATCCAGGAAAGCTTCGTTCAACGTATCCACAGTCCGCTCCACTAGCAACTGACGGATCTTGCCAAATTGCTCCGCGGCCATAATACAGATTTCCTTGTGAATTGACGAGGTCCCACTTCCAGTGGTTTGCATGACAACCATCTTCATCTCCTTTCCGATTGAAAGTCTTCGTCTATTCCTCTTCCTCTTACCAATATAACCGTCGGGTAAATTCTGAGCAGTATCCTCAAGGGCACAAAGACGCCCACTTGCTATTGCGAATTCTTTTCTCTTAGCATCCACTGCTGCTTGCTCAGGAGTAGGTGTTTCGGGAACTGTAATTTGACTTTCACGAAGGTGGCTCCGTTCATCACCTCCTTTGACCCCATTCTTTTCCTTCCGGGCTTTCTTTGAGTCCTGGTGACCAAAGCCTTCATCATCATCAATCGTAGCCTCTTTCTTAAAAACTGACTGATCTTCCGTGTCTTCTATCTGTGGAAAGTTGACAGTCGCATAAATTGGCCGCATACTACCTGCTAAATGCAATGGATCGCATTTTTTTATCAGATTGATAAACAATAATTGAGATATGAGAGATTAAAAAATTGATATATAGAGCACTATTCATGTAAGTAAAGTTATCAATAGTACAAGCAAGCAAATTGCGCATTGCGAAGTTGAATACCTGTCATTCCATTCTTCCATGATGTGAGCATGTGAGAATCATTGCAAACATCAAAGAAAGAGCTGATGATAGCAGACAAATGTTGGTTTAGCAAGTCCTTTGATCGCGCAGCAACTTTACGAATGAAGCGATCATGAGCATCTCGTAAGGTGAGATGAAATGCGACATACGCGGAGAGATCATGTGCATCCTTATGAGTGCTTTCTGTTCAAATAAGAGAAGCTAACAAAAGTTAAAAACCGAGATGGTACTGCTCTTGATGAGTCATACATTTTGTAAAAGCAGTTGAAGATAGGATTTTACAAAGAATGCGAACTATCCACCAATCCTCCACCTCTGTCGTTTACTCTCAGGATGATTAAAAAACCAAAAAGAACCACAACGACTGTAGAATGATTACACAAAATTCGAGATTGGGTATTAGCAGAAGAAAATATTCCAACTACCCCTCGAAAATTGTTGAATCCGCATTCGCTCAGCCGCTAGCTTGTAGAGATTACGAAGAATGAAAACGAGCCGATCACAGACAGTGTCCAGCAAAGGGCCCAAAAGAGATCGAGCTGATGATTGAGCTAACACAAACACAGGACCTCCACGAGCCTGCAAAATACTTGCAACCTGCCAACGTGGAAGACATGAATTGAGAATTAACAGCGGGATATTGTGCGCGGTTTCTCACAATGTAGTTCTTTTCCAATTTGGAACAGAGAACCTCTATGGCTCATAGTCAAGCATCTCAAAACCCTCGCAAAATTGATCGTAACAAAGCATACAATGATGGGTCCCCCATCATAGCAATAGGAGATCTGGGCATTCTTACCCTTTCCTCTGAGACGGGAGGCCATTCTATGGAGCAAGCCACACATTTATACTCGTGCAGAACGCGATTGAAAGCAGCACGTCCATAGAGCTTCAGGTTAGCACTACACGGCACAACATCCTCGGCTTGACCTGGCCATCTTACTATTCCACTCTCGCATCTCTCTTCCTCTGAAGTCCGGCCCCACTTGGCTGGGTCTGGACTGTCTACGCCATCAAGTAATTCAACCTACAAAATGCCAAGTTACATTGAAGTTCAGTGAATCGACAGTGACGTTGAGAGAAGGTGTGAATACAAGACATGATAACAATAGGTATCAAACGCTATCATCTATCGACAGAATTGCGAAATGTATATAATGTTAGACCAACAATCCTTGATTGAGCAAACGGTTTGTGATAAGGAAAAAAGAGTTAAAATGTGCTTTTTTTTAGCGTTCTGTGCCAATTAAGAGCCAAAACCTACCATATTGCTTGCCAGCAACCACGCATGCTTCATGGCAAATTTCCGGAGGGCTGTCACATCAGCAGATGCTTTGATTTTAGCCTCAGCAGTAGCAAGCTCAGCTTGCACCTCCATGCACCGTTGTTTTAACAGTAGCATCGTTTCTGGAGCAGCATCTCTATACCTGTAAAAGAACAGCCCCTTGAATCGACTCAGGTAAACTCAAGACCAGAACTCTTCACATGGTGGACGCCGGATACTGTTGATTTAACATGGCGAACATATATCAGTACATGGTCGAGGTGAACGGCATCTACGTAATTCCTACTTTCATGATTCAAATGATAAATATTTGCATCCCAATCGCGTCTGTTTTCAACAAAATGCCATACAGTACGTTAAGATACAACAACACTCTTCGGAAGAATATGGCATGTAAGATGTACCTCCGCTGAAGCTCCGCCTCCAAGTAGAGCTTTAGGTTTCCAAATCCAACATAATTCCCAAATCTCTCCTCATCAAAGCCTCCGGCAACATTCTCGCGAAGTTGTCTTAGAACTTCTGAATCAACAACAGAAATTTGCCGCCGGTAGTCTTCGTTGCTCGATGTCGCCCGATCTTTGGGCAAAGCCACAAAGAAAGGACGGGCATTCTCACCCAAATAACCTCCGGTGCTGAGATACTTATCCACTTCCCATCGTTCTCCAAATTCCTGCAACCAGACATGACTGTTAGGGAACGATACAAACAACAAAATAAAATAAACAACGCATGTTTTAATACCAAGCGTACAGCACCAACAAAAATTAGGTTTGTGACCTCCAGCAGATGAGGCAGGTCAGACCAGAATACTAGACACGATAAAAATTTCCTATATCTTTCAAATATTTGTACATCGAGTTCGGTTTCCTAAAAATTAGATGCAAACAAGAGCAACCAAAGCTTAACTTCTGAGCCCCCAAGTCTGGCAACCGATGATACGGAGAAGATCCCAGCATTGAACACTTTTCCATTGAGAGATCTAATCTTTTAACTTTTTATTATATACAACGCATCGACCTCATAAATACGATTGATAAAGCCTCACACAGAATACCATCTCAGCTTCAGAAAGAAGACCATACTTACCTTAAGACGATTATCAAACTTAGACACCACCACAATAGTACGTTGCAGAGCAGGGTCGATAGATTTTACGACATCTAGCCAAAGTGATGAGCACCATTCCACACTGCTTTGTTGCAGGAACAGCAGCAACCTGTTCTGAGGAGCCGCCAAGTCCCGCACCATGGCTAGAATATCATCGGGAGTGTTGTCCGGCTCTCCTTTCTTGGCCTGTACAGGCATACCAAACAAAATCACTTTCAAGGTTTCCGAGATTTATAATCAATAAGCATGAACCCCAAATCAACAATACAGCTAAAAGGTGAGAATTTAACACGATAAAAACAAACTGCATCATGTTCTGACAATATGGGTTCAGAATGTGAGTTCAGAAACGCCAACTTGAACAATCGACCTCGTAACAAACGCAGGTTAGATAAGAAAAAACTCCAAAACGGATAGCAGTGAACATGAAGGCTCAACACAAGGCAACAATCGTTACAGGCAAGCAGCAAACTTTCAAACAAGGTTAAAGAATCATATGACCTTTATATGACTCCAATAGACCGCACAAAGCAGGCTCAGTCAGTACACAGAGGGACGGGTTCTGAAGAGAATGAAGAATAACACGTGTAAATTAGACATATGACTCTTTGGAAACAAGCAAAATGGATATTCGAGCTAACCTTAAGCACAAAGCCAGGTGTGTCAATGATCGTGAGATTGGGACAAAATGCATACTCCGCTCGCATCACAATTGGCTTGGCACTTACGGCCGTTCCCAGTTTCTTCAGAAATTCTTCAGTCCTTACACGAATTGCGTCAGCCACAGCTGTGACGGGGGCGATCACTGGTCCGTACTCATCAGATTCTTCATCCTACAATAAGCGCATCACAGACTTAAACATGTCCGTGTCTATCGCATCTTTCTCCAAACTAACGAAAATTTGAGGAGAAGGGCCATTAAACCGTCTAGTTTAAAAACTCTGAATCAGATGCAACAATTCATAATTATAGCTCGTAGCATGCTACTGCTGCTTGCATGACCGAAGAGGGGTATCGGCATTGTGACTTCACCGCCTCTCACACTCTTCAGCACCGCACATCTTGCAGAATGATTGGTTAAGGCACGCAAGAAACTAAGAATCGACAGCCTAGAGCCTCCGAAGCCCTTGAACCAAACGTGCACCGAATACCTAGAGTCCAACTCTCAGTAATCCTTCAATGCTCAACAAGGTAATGCGCATCAAGAACGTGCATTACCGTCCATTGTTCTCATGGAAATGGGGAATTAAGCTGACGTAATGTCTTCCTACGTACCTGAAGGCGGCAGCGAGGCTCCAAGGCCTCAGGATCGTGGATCATTTGTAGCATGAGTGGTCGGCGAGTTCCCATTTCAACCTCCCGAATATTAAAACGAAATCCCAAGAGCGCCTCCAGCAGAGAACTCTTGCCATCCGACTGCCCTCCCACGGCAACAATCTCAGGAATAGGCAACTTTTCACCAAAAGCCACCGCACTTGCCTGGAGCCGACTGTAGGCCTCGTACCGCGACCGAGACGCATCGCTGTTATAGATTGAATCCATCTTCTTCACAGCTGACTTCTCCGGCGCTGCTTTCCAGCTCTGGCTATGGCCGTTCTGTTTCGCCACGCCATTCGCCACAGACGCCATGTTCGACAGACCTACCTCAATTGTACAACCAAAAAACTACTAGTATAATAATTCCTCCACTGCCACTTCACTAAAACAACTCTGGTCACAAGCAACGCACGATCCATCACCCGTAAGCCATACCCAGAGCTTCACGACGAGGGAAGGTCATAAGCAAAGCCGCTAATGCCAGAGGAGGGAAACACGCAGCAGTATGCTTGAAGCAACCGTTCCTATTATTTTGAATTCTCCGACCTACAGATGCGACGGACCTACCGCTAGTCGCTCCTCCTCGAGCAGTGCCCACCACTTCCTTCGACCATCGATCGGATTACGCCACTTCATTTGACCATCGTCAGCTACCGCTGGACGGTTCAGAAAGATTTTTTTTCAAATTCCTTGAGGGTGTTTGTGAACGAATCGTCACCGTTGGTCTGATTCGTAATGTGACCTTGTTCACACTCACCCTTTCTTCTCACCACGGCTTTGGGGTACCGGAGCCTAAACGCACGGGTGAAGGACCCTTCCCTATGAGCACACGTGATGCTGTGACCAAACATGCGATTGTTCCCCAAATTGATCCATAACCGTGTTCAACGACCATGCATCTTATTATCATATTTCTAAACTCTCTAAATTCTATTTGTAGTATTTGATCAAGATTTTTGTACTGTCTGCTATAACAGAAACAATACTACTTTCACTATAGATTTACACTTTGTATCGCCTCTGTGAATTGTTTAAATTTGTAACATAAAGCATGCTTTTGGTTTTATCAAAATAAAATGAAAATTTCATTAAAAATATGTATGGGTGGGAATCATGGGTTCAATAATGAACTATTAGCAAAATGGAACTTGGTGCAAACATAACCAAAACTTAGAAAGAAAAAAAAATTGCAATCACTACCCATATGTTCCCTGCACATTTATGGGTTAATATACAGAGGTTGGGAGCCTTCGCCACCACTGCTGGCTCCCAACCTCTATGTTAATCCTGTCATCAGCAATCCCAAGGTATTGGATTTGTCAAATGAAAACGTACTGATTGAGGCATTGCCTCAACAGACGACATTCCTGTCTATGTATTCGTAAGTTTACTCTCATTTAACAAGACTCCAAATGCATGTAAACCAACTGGGTTCATTATCCCATTTGTTGTTAACTCTCAGATTGATGGAAATCTTGAAATTTAGCCTCTTCACTAAGATCTTCGACACAGTCCACAACATACTTCATCTTGGACACTACTTCAATTAGCAATGACGCGTACTTGACCAAAGACACAGCCGAGATTCTCTCAAGCGCGCCGTCCCAATGGGACCCCATGCTGGATTTCCGCTGCAAAAATGTCTGTTGCCAAGCCAGTGATTTCTTCGGCAGCTGCTCGCTTGTTGCACTTCGAACAAGCTTCACTGAGCCATTGACTGAAGGAACTCCCTCAGTCAGGGTCTCCAGTGTTACTTTCTTCACCGGTCCAGATCTTCCCCGCAGCATACTTCTCCTTGGTGAGCCACTATCAGGGTCTCTTGGCGGTCCAAACGATGCAGAGATATCTCCTTCCCTGGTTGGGTTTTGAAGATGGTCGTCTGAACTTATAAAATTTCCAGGTCCCTGCTTTTTCAGTGAACGAGGGCTTGAAAGAGGGAAGACGGATGTCTCATCGCCCAAGAGCTCATTCGTATGTAAGTATATCTTGAATTGGAGCGCAACGGCTGCCTCCTCGGCCCGTTTCATAATGTCCTCTGATTGAAACTTTTTCATGTTTTTTATGCTGTCACCAAGTGTGCGAAACACGGTGGCACACTCTGTCGCAATTGTCGCCGTCTCCTGTATAGCAAAACGCCCAAATAGAGAAATAGTCATACAAAGCGCTAATCTGGAGAAAATTCAATATACAAAAGCCATAGGTGCGGTGCATGGTGTGGAGGGGCGGCAACCAAACCTGAGCAAAAAGATCTCGAAGATGCTTGGGCGCTTGAATATTGGCGCGAAGGGACAAATCCAACGCTATGATATCATACAATGTGTAGCGAAGGTAGTCTGTAATGTCATCATATAGATCCCAGGGGTAACCCGAAAAAAACTTCCCATGTGAGGGCTCCCAGTGCACAGCGCTCAACTGGAGAATGCCAAAAGCAATGTCAATCCACCATAAATAAATTGGAACCTTGAGGAAGAAGTAAATTAATGTTGACTAAAAAGGAAATCGTGATAAACTTGAACTTAAACTTGACGTTAGTAGCAAGATCCGAACTTGAACTTCGAGTGACTAGACTCACCAGTTTGTCGATATCTAAATCTGACATCACTATTTCGTGGTAGCTCTGGTGGATTTTGTCATCCTCGGAGCGCCCACTCAGAATGTCCGGGATATGATCAAGCTTCGTGTCTTTGTTGTATTCTTCAACACATCTGCACACAAGGCACAACTCCTTCGAACGTACTCACCGGGAAGTCTCACAACCCTCGTTTGGGGGAAGAAACAAAAATAAAAATAAAAAAACGCATGTAATGGTCATAAAATTAGATTATACCTTTGAATAAAAACTAACGTGCATTTAAAAGGCAAGACAGAAATCAGAATGGTGCTGATACCTCTGAATAACAGTGGCAGCTGTCTCAAAGTTCTTCGCCACAAGCTTGTGCAGCGCATCTCCCGCATAGTTGGGCTTCAAAGCTATGTTGATAATCGACGCCATAGCAAACCCCAATAAGATCATTGAAAATCTGAGAATCGGCAAAGTCCACCTTTCTGGATCTAAGTAATCAGTGATTATAAAAATGTGAAATGCAACAGTTGCAACAGAGAAGGCGTAGCCCCACTGATCTTTTAGCGGTGGAATGCCTTTGAAAAATTTGAAAACGCCAGCTCCCACCGCAGCAAAAAAGACCTGCGCATTCATACGAGACTCCCTTCAGACCTCTGAAAAACACATTAACCCCACCCCTAGACTACCTCTGTGGCATGGCAATTACGAGCATAACGAAGAGTAGATGATGGCATTTACCACAAAATAAGGATATACTGGTCCAAGCTCTGGCCCAATTTGATTAAGTCCGAATCCTAACAAACCCGCAGCCAAAGTTCCCAGAACACGATTGTAGCCTTTGCTAACAGAAAGTCCAATGTTTCCCTCATACAAAAGATCAGTGGTAACAACGGCCCACAATGCAATTGATGATATCTGTGTAAAAGGCTCTGGAAACTTGATGACACATAGAATTGAAGCCAAGCCAGAACAGACTCCTGCGGGCCAGCATAGCTCCCACTCGAGCACCATCACAATAAAATTTTGCAGAGTTTGGCAATAAGCCTACACAAACTTATTAATAGCTGACTAAAGAGCATCACTCTGTCTGCAAGTTACAAACCATAGCTGAGATAACAAGCATCTGCTCTCACAATAGCAACGTACATACCTTGTTTGACAGATAAAATGGTGAGGCTAGAATTGGCTTTCATAGCGTCCCAGATCCACTTGGGCCACATATACAGTCCTACCATCACATTGTACAAGAAATTCCATGCGTTGGCCTTTGCGCTGCATGCTGCCCTGGTAACAAGTGACTTCTGTCGTATGGGGTTACGGATAGAACGGGATGACATCTTGGCTCGTTGACTTCTTTCATAATCTATAGAACGCTGCCTACTTAACTCGTGAATATGCTGAAACGTACTCCTGCTCTCAGCTTCAAGGATTGGATCGTCAAAATCGAGATCTGATTGCACATCATAACTCCCCAAAGAGTGTCTTGCTGCAGACCTTTCATTACCCTGGTGCAACTTGTCAATCGCCACAGCGACCTCACCGTGGTATACACTATTGAAATCAGCGATTCCATTCTCCCCTACACGATCCCCTAGCAACGGTGTGTACAATAAAGAACCATTGCTATCACCTCTGATCGCCTCCATTGTCCCACCTCTCTTTTCGTAATCTTTTCACCGCTTCCTTGACATTAATGCCCCTCTGCTTGTATCAGCTTCAAATGTAAAACCCTAGTCTCATAATACTCCACCGTCGCACCAAAATGATCCAATAAATCGCTGCCAAGAACAATTGACGAAATGCTTTTATAGTCAAACTTATGCAGGGTCTCACCATGCAAGAAAATGAATCATTCTGATCCATGATACTCAATTCGCTAAAACACATACGCAGACCCAGTCCCTAAAACCGTTGCCAAAACCTCCGGCTTAGCATTGTCTGATATCATTTCAAGTTTCTAGCTGTTATGATCATCATCAGCAGCAAAAAAAACTGACAGGCAAGAATACCGCATCAAAATACGTCATTAGCATAATACGAGGGAATAATCTTCAAAACATGTTGTGTAAAAGGGCTAAGGATATCAGCAAGGTTCGCAAGGACAGAGTGTTTTCTTCTGATTACACTAAAGACTGTTCCACGTACTTGATTAGGGTACAAGGTTTGAACACTAAAAGAAATGGGTCAAAACTAAAAATTGCGTGTTATTTACATAAGTCACTAACATATACTAAAATGTAGGCCGGGGTTTCATATAGGTATTTCGTGGAGTGTCCAAACCTGTTTTGTAAAGCATTTTGTTTAACCTACAATCAATCATTGTAACACACACTCTTCAAGTCCTTCTCATGTACTTGAGAAAATTCCCAAATACATGAGAAGACGCACATTCATCGAAAAAAACATCAAACAAACAAACAAATTCCCAAACCTTTCCTGATTTTGACATTTTCTTCGTAAGTTTGTTTTGGAAGTGCAACGGCAAGCTTATTACAATAATTATGAATTTGGAGATTGATCATACGTCAAGTGTTCTCATAGATAAATGAACTTACCAATAAGGACTAAGACAGTTGAAGTTAAAATTAGGATTCAAAGGCAACTTTATAGACAAGGAGAGCTGATCCTTACTTCTGTATGGTTTTTACTGGAGTCTAGGTACACGTGCTGATAATACTGGATGTGGCGTTCATGCGGATCACTTCAGAGGGTTGAACCATAAAACCCTGACTAAACATCTGCATCCTGATCCTGGTTGAAACAGATATCCTGCGCAACCATGCTCATTAATTCTGCTAAAATATTTGTAGTCTATGAAACAGTAGCAAATTGTGGTGACAAACGATCCTCTGAGTTCGAAGGACAAACCTTCGAAGTTTCAAATACACATTCTCATACGCATGCAGCTGATCAATTGAATTGAAACGTGGTCCAAGCGCCGTCGGTTACTCCCAATACCTTAACCCGGGGTACCTTCACATCGAAACCCAACTGCTTGAAGCTAATGGATACCACAAAATACTTTGTTCATAGAGCGGCTACGTCCCACAACGAACCCAATACAAGCTCTTCAACAACATCAACAAAAACAACAACAACAACAACAACAAAGCTCGTGCTTCGAAATAAGAGCCTCACGTCCCACAATCAGAAATGCAGAAAACATCGTGACAATCCAAGGCGTTACAATCCAAACCTAAGAAAGCAGAGACGGCTGTGGAGCTGCTGCATCCAAAGAGCAAACTCCACCAACGCCAACGCTCCCCGCCGGCAGCGCAGCAACTAAATCCACAAAACTCCAAAAAAAAAGCACGCATTTACTCTTTCACTCTCTCATATACCCCGCCAGAGGACTTGTTGAAAAGCCCTCTCGTGCCTCAATTTCCCAGCGCCTGTGCTTGCACGGCCCACGATGCACAACAACTCACAAATCCATCAGCCAGCCTCCGATCGACAAGACAACGGCTTGTCTCCCACGATTCGATCAGCTTTGACTGACCCACCTACACACACATGGTTCGATTACGAGGCAATGCGGCACAACATGGACGACGAGTCGCCGCGAGTGCGTGATCCAGGGCGGTTGGTGAAGGGAATGGAACGAAACAAAACAAAAACGAAAAGCCCGAATTCCTGCTGCTGCTACTTTCTGCTGTGTGAGCAATTTGCTCGCCGCTGCTCCCGAAGCCCCCGATGGACCCTCTCCTTCATCTTCGCCAGATCCCCCCCCCCCTTCCCGTTTTTGCCACCTCCCCTATGCCACGAGGTTTCCATGTCAGCATTTCGTGTGGGGTCGATATTGACTTGCCTAGTACTGCCAGGGGCGTATTTCCGTCTCCTGGCTGGTGGGCCCACGGATTCAGGCCTCGTGGATTGTCAATAGAAAGGTAAATAACTGGCCCTTTCTTCGAGACTCTCACCTAACGCCGGACTACCTTAAACATAAGGTTTTTCAGCTATCTCGGAGCGATTCTTTTTTGAAAAATAAAAAATGGTTGGAGAAATAAGGTTCTGATTTGCTCCAAATAAATAAATAAATAAGTAATTTCCATAGTGGTTTAATTGATAAGTAGTTTTTGCATTTAATCTCTAAATCAAGGCATAGACTTAAGCAAAACCAGCCACTTCTATCACACTAAACCACATCCTTCATCATTAGTGGATTTGGAATAGACTTAAAATCTTTCTACATGAAAAATAGTTGTTTTTGGGTTTGTACAAAGGAAGTTTAAGGTAAAATCTACATATTGGTTCAAAGAAGTGCAAAGGAGATTTAGGATAAGATCTTTGTCAAGGACATGAATCTTGAAGAAAAAAAAAATCCTCAATACACTCTTATGTCATTGAAAGGAATTAGAAAGTCACTCAAAGATGACATAATATTGAACTAGAATAGCTATTCCCAAAAATAAGAAGACTAGAAAGTCATGAAATAAGACTAAAGGCTAGAAAGGTGTTGATAAGAAAGAAGAAGGCTTCATTCTTGCCTCTATATATACTTTTAACTAAGATTGATGTGACAATGTCTTATAGAACCTCCAAAATGTGTTGACTTTGCAAGACACATATCTTAACTTATAAGGCAAGTTTTCTATATGTATGCGATATAGTTAGCTTGTTCTACAAGCTATTAATATGTGATTAACTTATTGATCAAGTTTCTAACCTATCAATCAATTATAAATACATGTAAAGTCAAAGCAACGTCTATGAAGCTTCTAGGAAGCTTTTCCAGAAGATATTATAAAATTAATCACCTTTTATCTATTTTTATCTACTTCTACTTAATCATATAAGTATTTATTAAAATACTTACGTATATCCGTGATATTATTCCTCCTTCTAGAAACAAGTTCCACTAAGAGCGATCTTCATATATTTAAGAAATCTAAGATGCAGCAAATTGTATTTGCTACATACTCTAATCTTTGTTCTCTTTGAAGATGGTTGATAAGTCTTAATAGTATCCCAAATCAGGGCAAGAAGACCACCCTTTTATTTGATTATTATTGAGGCCTTTATAATTTCCTTCAAATAAAGTATTTGAAATACCATCATGAGTTGTTTCTACTTATAATAAAATCACCAACTATTAAGAATTTCTTTCAAGGTCATAATATCAAATACGTTATAACTCGCCATCTATTTGAGGAAAGACATATCATTCTTGAGGATCTTCATGTCAATTTTTTTGACTTGAAGATTGTGATAATCATGATGTCTCGCACGATAAGTCTGCAAATGAAAGCTTTTGAGTTAAATTTGCTAGTTCATGATTCTCCATCTTCTTAGCATGACAAATACACAAAAGCTACAAAGAAAGATAGAAAGGTATTGTGTTATCTTCCATCAATTTTGTTTGTTTTCTAGAAAAGATTTGTTATTCTTCATCTTAATTTTGATAGATATCGTTGATGAAAAGCTTCAACTCTCTTTATTATATTTGTAAGATTCTTTGTTTGCTTTCATGTGTATTTACTAATATCATATCTAAGCCAATAAACAAGATATTTCAACCTATTTTGGCATTGCCTTCAATCTAAGATTTCTTTCATCTTAAACTCTTGATTATTATCCACTCCTATAGTAAGAAGTCACATATGTCTTTTTCTTGAGATATTTACTATTTTATATGGCTTAAAAAAAGACACATGAAATACAAGATGGATAAAATGTGCTATCTTTGCAAAACTATCTACTACCATGAATATAAAATCATATAAACCTGAGATTTGAAGATCCGGGATAAAATCCATAGAAATAGAAGACCATGGTTATTTTGGAATAAGTAATGGCTAAAGAAGTCCATAAGATCAATAGCCAGAAGTTTTTTATCTTGAAAAAATATCACATGATTATACAAAGTCTTTTACTGTCTTTGACATTTGACGCTACCAAAAATCTCTTGATATGTGCTCCAAAATCTTGTTGTATCAAAAATGTCAAGCAGTTGGAAAGTCATGACAAGTTTGAATAACACGTAATTATGCCTTCCTTTTAGAATGTATAATTGTCCCTCAAAATAGAGTAGGTTGTTCTTGAACTCAAACTTATAAATATCATATGATTGAATAGAATTATTCTTGATATCATAAACAAGAGGAACAAAGGACATACTTCCTTGAATTTTCTTAACAAACATTGAATCAACAATCAATGTTGTTTTTGTTGCTCAATGGTGAAAATATTTTGGCTTCAAGAAAATTGTTCTTTATTGATCAAAAGATGCATCTCTTTCTTTTGGTGTAAGATAAAAACGTGTAAAAAGAGCATTCAATAAATCTTATTATTTTTTAGGTCAATAAGTGATCTTGAAATCAAATCTTCATAAGGACATGCTTCAACAAGTTTGGCAATAATTTTAAACACGTGTTGACACAAAATACTCAAGGTTCTTGGAATCTATGTATATATTAATTAGACTCGACATGCCTTCTAAATAATGATGTCATTCTAGAAATGAATCCATAATTTCAAAGAATTCTTTATCATAGATCTTATAATTAATCATGGCTCCTGAAAAAAAAATTGGAATAAAAATTTATTAAATGGAGTTTATTATCTACTCTCATTTATGATAATATTGCACTCAAGGTAAGGTTTGATGCATCTGTTTCCATAAAAATGCTTTAGAAAAGTCAACACAATATAACATTGGTGTAGAGGTAAACTCATTTTTTAAAGCATCAAACCACTTGACATCTTTTTACCATCAGAAATGGATGTCGCATATAAAGCAAAAGATAATCCTTCTTTTATAGCATTCATAAAAGAACTTGTACTTACTAATAAGGATTAAGATGTATTAGACTTATGTATTCTTATTTGACTAATGAGATTTTGGGTTAAACTATCAAAAAAATTAAAATTACTAGAAATTCAATCTATATGAAGATTATACTTTTTTAACCAAGATAATCTTAATATAATTGAATTGAACAAAGATCTTATTATATTAAATATTACTATGTTATTATGATTTCTAATTGCTACATCTAAAAGAAAAGTCTCATGTATAACATCTCCAAAAGATAATAAACAACCATCTATAATTTCTACATGTATAGGTTTAGTTTTTTTGAGTAATAATACCTCTTATTTTTTGACAAAATCTTTGTCTATAAAACAAGTTGAGGCTCCTAAATCTAACAAAGCTAAGACTTTGTGATTTTTTAGTCCTAAATAAACTTCTATTATAAAACAACATGAAGAATCAAAAAAGAGGATAAGACCTTTACTAGGAGTTATACAAGATTCCAACTACACGCTCCCTATTGTAGCTGAAAATTTTATTTTTTGATACCATGTCTTCTTTGGCAACCATGCTTCTCATTTTGTGATTATGTTATTTCTTTGGACAATGTTAAGTAGTGTATTTAGCTTTTCCACAATATAAGTATAAGCCTTCTTGACAATGTTGAGTAATGTGTTTAACTTTTCCACAATATAAGTATAAGCCTTCTTGACAATGTTGAGTAATGTGTTTAACTTTTCCACAATATAAGTATAAGCTTTCTTGACATTGTTGAATTATTTCTTGCTTTTTAAGGAATTTAATAGATATTATATCAATTTTCATTGATTTTAGGCTCAATGAATAAATTTTTAAATACTTAATAGTTGTCATCATTATTTGATTTATTACTCTTTAGCCAAATCTTTCTTCTTGACATCTTTCAATTATTTTATATAATAGCTTAAGCAATAATTTATTTCAAATATTTTATTTTTGATATTTTCATTAATAAATATTTGAAATTATCCTTCAATCTATATTAAAATTAATTAATAAGCGTTTTTGTAATACATAAAGTCTTGCTTGAAAATGCTCCGAGTACTTGATTATGGAAGGTAGAATGGAAATTGCAACAACAAAATCCTAACTCTAATAGAATACTAACTAAATTTTAATTAGACCATAATAATTCTAAGTAAGATTTAATCAAATTCAAAGAAACCTCAAAGAAATTTCAAAGAAAAAATAAAAAATCTTAAAGAAATATAAGAATGATCACAAATATATCTCAAATGCATCTCAATTAAATCTTAATTTAATCCTAGTTAAAATTCTATTAGACTTCATTCAAACTTTAGGCCAAAACTAACTAAATCTTAAATCTTAAGCAAATCCTAATAAAATCATAAATCCTAAATTAAACCCTAAAAAAATCCTAAACTAAATCCCAACCAAATCCTATACCAAACTCTAAATCCTAAATCAAACCCTAACCAAATCCTAACTCTAAATCAAATCCTAACCAAACTCTAAATCCTAAACCAAATCCTAAATCCTAAATCCTAAGTCAAATCTTAACCAAATCCTAATCCTCAATCAAATCCTAACCAAACTCTAAACCCTAAATCAAATCCTAAATCCTTAATCAAATCCTAAACCAAATCTTAAATCCTAAATAAATCCTAAACCAAATCTTAAATCCTAAATCAAACCGTAATCAAATCTTAAATCTTAAATCGAACCCTAACCAAATCCTAACCCTAAATCAAATCCTAATCAAACTCTAAATCCTAAACCAATCCTTAACCAAATCCTAGTAATTTCTACAATAGATATAAACCTCAATAACTAATGAATAAACCATTGATCTTAACTCAAATTTTGCACACTTCTTAAAAACTAAGTTAAAAACAAGAAAAAAAAAGTTTTAAAAGGATCGAAATTACCA